GTGTGCTTTAGGGTGCACACCCTAATGCAATAGGCTGCGCACACCTATGAGTCTGACCACAGATAGTCAGGCTTTGACTAGGCCATTCCAACATACATGTTTCCCCTTAACCCCTTAAGGACCAAACTTCTGGAATAAAAGGGAATCATGACATGTCACACATGTCATGTGTCATTAAGGGGTTAAACCACTCAAGTGTTGCTTTAGCAATGTGTTTGGGGTCATTGTCCTGCTGGAAGGTGAACCTCCGTCCTAGTCTCAAATCACGCACAGAGTGGTACAGGTTTTGCACAAGAATATCCCTATATTTAGCACCATTGAGCTTTCCCTCAACTCTGACCAGTTTCCTAGTCCAGGCTGCTGAAAAACATTCCCACATGGTGTTCTTTGGGTGATGTGATGTGTTGGGTTTGCTCCAGACAAAGCGTTTTCTTTGATTGCCAAAAAAGTTCAATTTTAGTCTCATCAGACCAGAGCACCTTCCTCCATACATTTTGGGAGTCTCCCACATGCCTTTTCGCAAACTCAAAACGTGCCATTTTATTTTTTGCTGAAAGTAATGGCTTTCTTCTGGCCACTCTGCCATAAAGCCCAACTCTATAGAGCATATGGCTTATTGTCATCCGATGTACAGATACTCCAGTCTCTGCTGTGGAATTCTGCAGCTCCTCCAGGATTACATTAGGTCTCTGTACTGCCTCTCTGATTAATGCCCTCCTTGCCCAGTCAGTGACTTTTGGTGGGCAGCCATCTCTTGGCAGGTTTGCTGTTGTGCCATTTGGTTATGATAGATTTGATGGTGCTCCTGGGGATCAAAGATTTTAATATTTTTTTATAACCTAATCCTGACTTGTACTTCTCAACAACATTGTCCCTTACTTGTTTGTAGAGTTCCTTGGTCTTCATGGTAGTGTTTGGTTAGTGGTGCCTCTTGCTTAGGTGCTGCAGCCTCTGGGGCCTTTCAAAAAAGGTGTGTATATGTAATGACAGACCATGTAACACTTGCACACAGGTGGACATCATTTCACTAATTATGAGACTTCTGAAGGTAATTGGTTGCACCAGAGCTTTTTATGGGCTTCATAACAAAGGAGGTAAATACATACGCACATGCCAATTTTCTGTTTTCTATTTTTAATAAATAAATAGTTTTATGTATATAATTTTTCTCATTTCACCTCACCAACTTTGACTATTGTGTTCTGATCCATCACATGCAATTCAGATTAATAAAACATTGAACTTAACAAAAGAGGTAAAAAGTCAAGTGGGGTGACTACTTTTACAAGGCACTGTAGATCCAACTTACTGGAACTAAGTATTATTTAGCTTATAAGACACTCGCTATAGAATTCTGATGAGCACCTCCGAGATGACGTCATCACGTTGCTGTTGGCGTGATAACATAATCTGAAACTCCTATATCTGCCTAAGCTTTACGAGTCCTTCCTCTTCAAACTACAAGTACACGTTAGTCGACATCATCGCGTCCAGAAAGGTGCGATGACATGACACGAGACTACTATATATGGAGAAACACTAAGAGCCCACGTCCATTAGGAAGGCCTAATGTGTGATATTATCATGCAAACAGCGCGGTGACGATATGTGAAACTACATTATCTTTCAATAGAGAAAAAAAAATGCAAAAGAAAAAAAATGCAATTCTACCTATATGGAATATATTAAAAAAATAGAGAACATAAGATATAACTTTTAATAGATAAATATTAAAAATGATGAAAAAGAAGTATAGCTAAGAGTGCTAGGAGAAAGGAGAAACTGTCTAATAATATGGCTCTTAGTCAAATAGATATGGCAGGCTACGATAGTGGCCAGACACATCACATCTTACATTTCAAGCTCTAGAACGTATCCACCTGAACACTAGAAAGGGTCATTTTAATCTTACCCTACTAAGAAAAGAATCCAGATAGATACATCAATGTAAGACCTTATCCCCTTTGGGATTGAATGAAGAATTTAATTTTACTCCCTTCATTCATAAATAAAGCACAGCATTCATTATTTAGCTTGCAAAGGTCTTCTGCAAACATTCATTGTAACATCTCTTAATTCTTTTATGTCCAATGAACGACTTCAACATAGTAAAAGTCACAACTGGATATTGGATAACCTTGATATCTACTATTGAAAAATATGTATATAGTCACAATCACTTTAAGAATACGATACGTTATCTTTTAGAAATTATACATTGGAATCAACCAAAAACTGTATTAAACAGTAAATTGTTTACCATGCATAATTTGCAACAATCGTTCTAATAATTATGTAACTATTGTTACTTATATTTAGTTGAAAGATTGACATAACTGTCACCTTTCTAATTTATCTTTTCATTGTTAACTCTCTTCCTTTTATATAAAAACTCTCTACTTTCTTATTCACTACGATATTATTTTTAGCTAGATAGCAGACAATTCAGGTAAACATAGGGTTAATCATTCCCTTGACTGCAGATGTTTCCTCCCCAAGCAACCATTGGTAAAAAATAAAATAAAAAAATCAACAATTCTCCAATCAAAGGAGAACTTATGATTTAAATACACCTATACTTACCTGTGTCTGGTTCCCCTCTGATGAGCTTCACTGGCGAAATGCGCGCGTCAGGGGCTCTAGACACACGTTGACACATTACTGGTGTCGGTCTCTTACCCGCTGCTCACCTTTTTGCGGACCTACCAATGCCAAGTTCATTCATGTCCAGCATCTTAGGAGTTTTTTAATACTATGGAGATTCTGTGACTCGTTACCATTGTATATATTGTATACTTTATTTACTTCTATTTTGGTTTAACTTGGGGGGACGCAGGCTAGAACAGGCATTTTGATAAGGGGTGTCCTCGAAGGCACAAGATTTATGAATTACCTCTATTGCTTCTACCTATCATCTACCATTTTCTAGACAGCGCATTTACCATTTTGCTGTTATTAATATAAAAATTTTTACCTTGCGACTATTACTTTGGTAACCGTTGTAGCAATATATTCTAATTTGCCAACTGCTACACGCTAGTAATCCCGAATTGTTGCAAACTGAATGGCAGTTTAGTATATTGGAAGTCAAGGCATTTCCCTTATCCTCGGCTATGCACAATAAGAACGCTTATAATAGTATTACACGCTGTTACTATATCAGTTACCTATCCATAGAATTAGTGACTGCTAATTCTCGGCACAAGTATGCCTATGTGTAGTTACTATTAGAAATTAGCACTTATAGACATTACGTTTGTCTTATTTATCTATTTCTGTGTTAGTTCTATCCTTAGCAGTTTACTTATTTGCCTGCTTCCTATCCTATATTGCTTCCCCCCTAGGTACAGTCAGTAGTGGCATTTATATATCATTCGGCTATGTTGTTTCCAGTACTGTATCATGAGCATATTACAACAGTGCTACAAATGTAATTCACACTGATATTAGCACATCCACTATCGTAGCCTGCCCTATCTATTTGACTAAGAGCCATATTATTAGACAGTTTCTCCTTTCTCATAGCACTTTTAGCCATTTTTAATATTTATCTATTAAAAGTTATATCTTATGTTCTCTATTTTTTCATATATTCCATATAGGTAGAATTTTTTCTTTTGCATTTCCCCCCCCTCTATTGATGTTCACTATTTAGGGGTGACCCCCCCCCCCTTTTTTCTGCTTTCTACCTGTTGTTAATTATCTTCTGGCTCTAGGTTAATCATTTTTTTCGTTTTTCTTTCAAGTACATTATCTTTCAGAAAGATCCTGTAGGTCAAGGACCGCTTCCAAGGTGGAGCCAAAAAAGAGGGACAGTGAATGAATGGTAGGGCAGTAAAACATCAATGAATGACACATTAAACTAAACTAGTGGGCAGTTTGTAAATGGAATACACTCACTGTAGGGAGAGCTGTGTGAAAAACGAGTGGCAAGAATATTATGACCCTTTACATAGAAATTGGTCATAAAAAGTAAGACAGCAAATTAGATTAGAAACGAAAAAGCAAAAATTCCCAAACTGAATATAATGCTGACTGGAGATAAAAATGTAGAAACCAAAACACCCAGCGGTATGGAACAATGTAACCAGAAGGAGACCACTAAATATCTGACGTAACAGAAAGTATCAACACAAAAATAAACTAACTCCAAATAATAATAAATACCGAACTAGCCTTGTAAGGCTACTCCCAGGCCTAAGTAAGTGAGGGGATAAGGTTACTAAACACCTAATTCTGCAATATTCATATAGGCTTTATTAGTCCTGGCCCCTTAATGCATGGGGTGTTAGTAAATCTCCTATTAGTACCTAAGCACCAGATAAAGTGCCAAAGGGAGACAGGTCACTGTCTAGAGGATCAGAAGCGCAAATAATCAAAAGTAGGACAGACAAAGTAATATAAAGTAGAGAAAGCCCCTCTCCCTGTTAAACTTACTAAATAGGCATAGAAGAAAAAAAATTGAAAGGAAAAGTTTAAATCATAACAAAAACGTGTATCACACAGTGCAGCGAGGTGCCCATGTGTGTGCCAGTCCGGTATTTATTATTAGTTGGAGTTAGTTTATTTCTGTGTTTAGTATCTAGGGTTAAGCCCTTGGGCATTGCTGGAGTGCCCTCCTGGTGCATGGGATCAGTGTGGAGGTGGTGTTTATTCCCTTTCACGCCGATCCCATTTCTTTCTATTTTTTTCTGGGTAACAAATTAAATTAAAAAAAATGTATTTAGATAAAGAAATTACAATTAAAGTGGAAAAGATAAATTTTATCGTAAATATAAAGAGCATATAAAAAATACAGCACATGTAAGTGTATTTAGTATTTAAAGTGCTAGCGCAAATTATCAAAGATATATTAAAGTACAAGTCATACGGGGCGTAGCTTGGTGCTCGACGGGACCGGTCTCACGCATGTGAAGCTCCCGCTGCTCAAGTCTTACGGGGCTAAAATAACCGGCACTACAAGCAACCTGTAAAAGAGGATAAACGTCCCTACCTCCAACATGTCACAGAGAGGCAAAAACAAAACCCTCAGAACGGAGAAAGCCTCCTTCTTCCTAGCGAGGGCTCCGCCGGGGAAAGGAAGGCCCTATCCAAGATGGCGGCGAGCACCGCTCGGACGAAACCACATCCTCCCTTCCACCTTCCCCGAGCTCACCCTCATGGCCACAGGTATGAGAACCCTGATGGCAGAACTGTCTGACAAGCTTCAAGCAAGCATTACAGCACAGATCCACACACTCACCATGGACCTCCGCAAAGAACTCCTGGAAATAGGGAGCAGGACGGCCCACGTGGAGAAATCGCTAGACGACTTCGCAGTGGCACACAATAGCCTGGCGGACAAATTACAGGAGCTGGAAACCTCCCTAGAAGCACAAAAACGCAAGGTAGCAGACCAGGAGGATAGATCCAGGAGGAACAACCTCCGTTTCAGGGGAATACTGGAATCCGTTCAGAATACAGAACTGAACAAGTATCTGACCGACCTGTTCCAGGAATTAACTCCATCTATGCATCCTGACCTCCTGGTAATCAACAGAGCCCACCGCCTGTGCAGGCCAAACCACCTACCCACCACAACCGCAAGGGATGTTATAGCCCGCATTCACTTCTACCATGTGAAAGAGCTCATCACAAAGGCCTGCAGAAATGCAGCCCTTCCCGAGCCATATATTTCAGCATCAAAATCTTTGCGGATCTATCTGCCACCATGCTGCAATTCAGAAAAACGCTGGCCAGAGTTACTACCACCCTCAAATCCAACGACATAGGGCTACCGGTGGAGATACCCGGCGAAGTTGCTGATACAGAATCAAGGAGCGATACACGCAGTGGCGACGACTGAGGCAGAGGGCCTGTGAAAACTGCAAGACTGGGGTATACCGATACCAAGCCCCCAAGCATCCTCCCAGGCTAAGGTCCCTAGACTGACACAGGACTGGACTCAAGCCTAAGGGCTGACCGCCCTCTCCTGTAGGGTATCGTATACATCTGCAACATGTATGCCTTTGTGATACTCAGAATCTCTTTTAATAGTTGTTTATATGTTTTAAACTGATAACTTCTATTTATAGCCTCTATGGTTAGAATACTACACTGCCTAACCTACTGAAATAGTCAAATATTGGTACATAATAGAGCGCAGAGGTGACTTGAATTTCAATAAAAAAATTAAAAAAAAGGTTTAACTCCCACAATACTCACTACCTAGGAGCACAAGGTAGTTCACTAAAGATCGCTGTAAACATATCGGTAATGCACCCAAATGCCTGTGTATTTACCCTTCAGCTTCCCAGAAGCCCCGAATGTGCCCTAAGACCTGAGTGCCTCCAGATTATGGAGACACTGGAAGCCACCCCCGTCTCGTGTGGGTCTCAACGAGCCAGACAACACTACTGCTCAAATCTGCTGAGCATTATCTCACCCGCTGTTGTGGTAAGTTCTCCCCCCTTCCTGGTTCCCATCCCCCTCTCCAGGTCCCATCCCGCATCACGGTTCTCATTAACGACATCGCATACACATATAGCAGTCCACTGTGAGACAATCAACCACCTCCTACTCTGATACCCATGAGGACAGGGAATCAACACTTCCCTCCTTTAACCCCTTAAGGACCAAACTTCTGGAATAAAAGGGAATCATGACATGTCACACATGTCATGTGTCCTTAAGGGGTTAAAGATCTTACAAGCAACCGTTTATGAAAATTACAACCTCTAATGTTAAGGGGCTCAACACCCCCGGTAAACGGAGTCTACTACTTAGGGACCTAAAGAAAGAGTGGGTAGATGTTGCATGTGTGCAAGAGACCCACTTTAAGAGAGACCACACTCTGGCCATAAACAACAGACACTACCCAACCCAATTCCACGCGCTCTCTGAATCCAAAACTAAGGGAGTCTCCATCCTCCTCCATAAAGACACATCTCTAATGCTCCATAAGAAAATTATAGACCCTCGGGGCAAGTTTATTATCCTTGTGGGCCTATTTAATAACTCCCCATATACCCTTGTAGCGGCTTACTTCCCCAACACTGATGCCACAAAATCCCTACGAACCATTCTCCTGGCCGCAGATGAGGTTAGAGTAGGGGGTCTCATTCTGTGTGGAGACTTTAATTTTATTCAACACCAATCACTAGACACCACAGCCCGCCCCACAGGCCGGAGGAAGGCGCATATGGCCAAAACATGCAAGGCTATCATTAAACTGCTTACACAACAAGGCCTATATGATGCATGGCGCACCTTACACCCCACACAGACTGATTACACGTTTCACTCCAAAGTACACAACACATACACCAGAACTGACATCTTCTTCCTTGACACTGCCACCCTAGCACAACTACATAACTGCAGGATAGGGGACATCACCTGGTCAGACCACAGTCTGGTGCACCTCCAACTACATGATACATTTCAGTTCAGAGACCGAGGGCAGTGGCGTCTTAATGAATCCCTATTGGTGGACAATACCTTCTGGGATCTAATTGTCAGGGCTTACCTAAATGGGAGTCTGTAGCGCAGATATATGTGCCCACCCTTGCAAGTAAACACAGGCCAAGGTGGTCAGGTAAGAATTCACCTGGCCTGTGAGTTGGTGCCCGGGGGCTGTGCAGGATGATGCTCCAACTCGCAGTGCAGATACGGACATAAACAGGAGAATCGTCGTTGGTAAGCCAAAAGTCAGTGGGTGCCAGAAATCAGGATAAACCAGTAGAGAGCCGAGGTCAGAAGATGCCAGAAGTCAGGATATACGGAGTAACAAGCCAAGGTCAGGAATCAACAGGAGCACACTGGAACACAAACAGCAATACAGAATCAGAGTCAATGAACTGACACTGCCCTCTGGGAGAGGCAGTGTCTTATACCTGACTAATTGGGCCATCAGCTTCAGGTGTGCTGAGAATATAGGAGCAGCCACAGATAACGTCCAGCCCCTAGTGCTGGATACAAGGCAAGATCAGACTATCAGCTGGCTCAGAGGAGAAACAACAGGCCCAGGACCGCAGCGTACTCCGATTCAAATCCTCTATTGGGCACTTCTGGGGCGACCTCCTCTGGATGTCGCGGTGAGAACCGTGACAGTAATACAGGCCACGCTAACCGACTACTTTCAAACAAATGGGTCGGGGGAGACCTCGGAGGATGTAGTTTGGTGCACCCATAAGGCGGTGGTTCGAGGGCATTTTATTAAGCGGTCCTCCTATCTCAAGAAACGCAACCAAAACACACTGACGGAGACGTACGCACAACTAGCCGAACTCAGCGCAAAAAACAAAGCCCAACCCACACAAGAATATCTAATTAAAATTAACAAGCTACACACAATTATCGCCAATGACAAAAAACAAATAGCCTCCTTTATAAGCTCAGGGCTACTACATACCACACATCTGGCAAAGCCAATAAGCACTTAGCAGCCAGGCTCAGAGCACGACTGACCCAGACTAAGATACCCCACATTATCGATGATGACGGGAATAAATCAACCCCCACAGATGATTCGACAGATTTTTGCGCTCTACTCCTCACCTTCACCTCAGGTGAATCAGACGGGTTTCCCATCTCCCACTTTTAACATTACAAATGGGACGAGGCAGGGGTGTCCCCTGTCTCCACTGCTTAACGTCCTCGCACTAGAACCCCTTCTACACCTCATAAGAAAGAACAAAACAATACAGGGATTACACCTAGGGGACAAGCACATCAAGGTCAGTGCGTTCGCAGATGACGTATTACTATATATAGAGAACCCCCTAGACTCCCTACCCAAACTATTACAATTGCTTAAAGACTACGGACGGGTATCATACTACTCAGTCAACGCGTCTAAGATGCAGGCTCTACCTATCGGTATTCCGGCCAGGTGCTCCGCACCCTCACCCACACCTGCGACTTTGACTGGAGGGTGGAATCCATAAGATATCTGGGGTTGACGATTACCAAAAACCCTGTGAACCTTATGGCGGCAAACTATATCACAGTATGGAATAAGTGTAATCAGTTGTTGAAACAATGGTCACCACTGTACTTGTCCTGGACAGACCGCATAGCGACATTGAAAATGTCCATACTGCCAAGACTGCTGTATTTATTTCGTACACTCCCCCTCCGCCTCCCTCCCTCATATTTTTAGACAATACAGGCTGACATGGGAAGGTTTGTGAGGGCAGGTGGCAGAGCCAGGGTGTCGGCAGCTATTTTACAAGCCCCCAAGAAAATGGGGGGTCTAGCAATGCCTAATGTCCAAACCTATTACCACGCAGCAATATTGGCAACAGCTATCCCTCACATCATCTCCGAGCCCAGTCCACAATGGGTTTCACTGGAACGAGACTTATTGGGTACCCACGACATCCTACACCTACTCTGGACACCCCTACGTTTTAGGCCTGCTCATCCCCTACTTCCTACACAGATGCTACTCTTGTTTAAGATATGGGATAAATACAGACCCAGATTGGGCAGCACCCCCGGTCTTTCTCTGGCGACCCCCCTCAAGGCCTTGCCCTACATTATCCCCACATTTAATGCCGCACAGTGGTACCAAAGAGGGGCGACACACCTATACCATCTTTTCACTGCTGACAAACTCCTGGACTACCCCAGCCTAGTGGACAAATTTACACTCCCGCAATCCTCGCTTTACTCATATCTCCAATTAAAATCCTACTTGTCCAGGGAAGCGACACGTTGCCCAGGCACCCCCAGAGATACCAATAGGATTACTGTATGGGAACAACTGTGTATAACCGCAAAATTACTACCACAATGTAAACCGATCTCCATGTGCCTCAGCTCCATAGCTAACTACAATCACTTCTTCACCACCAAATATACCCGACAATGGGAGAGTGATCTAAACTGTCCAGGGCCACTTCAATCTTGGGATACAATCCTCACTGACCCACTCAAATTACTAAAGTCGTCAGCCCACATAGAACAACATCGCAAAATATTATACCGATGGTACTTAGTGCCAACTAGATTGCATAAAATCTTACCCTCCACTTCCTCACAATGTTGGAGATGCCACACAAAGGAGGGCTCGATGCACCATAGCTGGTGGAGCTGTCCGCGGCTACTCAGCTACTGGACCGAGGTCCACGCATTAATGCAAGACGTTACTCAACACCCCCTCCCATTTACCCCGCTAACGTGCTTAATGCTTGATCTCCGCAGAGGGATGCTCCAGCACGCCAAGAAAAAGACGTTACACATTGCCTTAACAGTGCAACAATTGATAGCAAGGAGGTGGAAATCCACGATCCTTCCCAAAAAGGAGACCCTGCTAGAGGAATTACACAAGCAGTGGCAGTGGATGCATCTATGATACCTCCTACAAGTCCCTGTCCCCCCCTTCTGCACTCTACCAAAAAAACTGGGAGCTCTGGCAAACAGGCAAACATGGAGATCTGGTAATGTACCAGGCACTGTACCTAACTAACTGACCAGAAAGGTTCCCCTTGCATGGCGGCCGCCAATAATTGCTGCATACCAAGGCAGGACCGACGGGGAAATTGACCCTAATTGACCCTAGTTGGCTTAATACAGGCTTAATACTACCACAATTAGCAACACCGCAATCTCAATCACAGCCTATGGGGTAGTATGGGAATATGTTGATATGATGATATGTTAATTTGTAGACACAGCTATATGTGATACGTGGTTACACCTATTATGTTGTCGATACAATGCTTGACTGTTTCTTATAGATGCCCCTCTCCCCCCCCGATTTCTGCATTCTGAAATGTCACAGTTA